TGGTGACTCGGGCATTTTTGAAAAGGGCCACACACACACACACACACACACCCACACACACACACACACGCTGTTAAATGTGCTTTATTTAACTGGTCAGATCTTTGCCCTTGTTGCCTATGTTTCTGTGTTTGGGTCTCTCACAATACTTAAAAGTGATTTTGTAAAGCCTAAAGATGAATTATTTTCTTTAACTTTAGCCCCCCACACACACACATAAATGGAGACTGATTAAGTATATTATACTTGTCTTTCCCAACCCGCCTACACACCTGTATCTAGGTCAGTCCCTGTGTTAATTATTAACTGGAAGAAGACTGTATTCATGTGTGTCAGAGGGTGGAAACTGCCAACTTGCTTAAGTTGGCTTTAGTTCTGCAATTAGGGCTGTGTCAATCAAATAAAATGTTCTTTCTAGGTTAACTGAATTGACCTCTTCCTGGTAGCTGCTGGGTGCTAATCAAACGTTGTTATTTAGTTGGCATATAATCAGGCTTAACGTGCACATGGTTCTCAATATTCATTTGTGCAAAATCCTCCAGCCTGCATCCACTTAGCAAAATGCTAAAGCAAGATTCAGCAGGCTAAACAACAAAACTAACAATAAAACATGGCAAAACTTTCAGCTTCCAAGTTTGAAGTCGGGTCACGAACAGTCACTAACTTTGATTGATTGATTGATCCATCATTAGTTAGCCCTCACATAGTGCACACACACATTAAAATAAACGTTATCCTCTCAGCTGCTCTGTCCTCTGAGTCTGGGGGCCGATGTACAGATTTCTGCTGGTTATTTGACATTGTGTTAGTTTGGAGCTGAGGAAATGTTCAGCTCTGCAGTCTCCAGGCTGGTCACCTGAAAAATGCGTTTTGACTTCCTGACTTAAAGGTCTTACCATCTATTAAACTATACCATTTAAAAACAGAACCACATTTGTTCAGTAAAATATATGTTTTTCATACATAATCAGTGTTATTTCTAGCAATATAGCATACATCAACATACGTCAGGTCAGAATTTTTCCCTTCTGCCCCTGAAAATAACGGATTAAGAAGCGAGAGAATTTGATTGGACAAGAGCATATCAACCACTCCGCAGAAGAGGACATGCTCCCTCTGTAGATAGTAACAGCTCATTCTAAGGTAACGAAAACACTACGATTCATATTTTCTGGTGATTATACACATTTTAATGTCAGATTAACCTGTGAGTTAGAAACAGAAAAAGAAAATCATGTCATCTGCAAACTGAATTTCATCAACAGATCCTCAAGAAAAAAAACCTCACAGTACTAAATTACATTCAGTGACGGACATCTCTGAGAAATGCACTGCAAATATGACACAAAACCTGGATCTCAGAGCCTGCCACTTATCTTACACTGATAACTGGAAGTAAAACCCTCCACACGCTTTGTTTACATTCCTGCCTCCTTCTGCACTGCTGTTGCACTTCCAACAGAAACATTAAAAAGTCAACGTAGATTTAAGAACTTAATTGTATTAGAAAGAAAGGTCCTGCACCCTCCATTCCCTAGCCTACATACTGTTTGTGTGTATACGTGCAGAACTCGAGTGTGTGCTTGCATCGTTTGCGTCCACCACACTGACACCTGGAATGTTTTCTCTAATGAATAACATTTTCCTTCTCCGTCCCTGCATTCCTGCCATAGTGGCGTATACGAGAGGGAGATGCCCCAGGGTGTGTTTACCTGCGTCTCTTCACCTTTGTGTATCTGCTTGGTGTGCATGTGTGTGTATGTAACATTGCCATGTGCTACACCGTAATCACACACTGGTAAACCAGCTGGTGTCAAACAACATCTGTACAACTGGCTCTACATCAAGTCACACTCATGCTTCCCTGCGTTACTTTCCTTTTGACGTTCAGTAGTCTTAGGTTGAACCAGTGTTTCCATCCAGAGTATCTTTGCCTGCATTTCAAGGAATCAGAGAAATATTAAACAACACATGGTTATGCAATAAAATGAAAGTTTCATGCTACACACAGAAAAAAGATAATTATATTTATAGAATATAATAATAATAAAATAAATAAAAGTAAATTAACCAACGAATGCAGTTGATTTGCATCTGGGGGAATGTAAACAGCAGTTATAAAAATCCAATTGACATCATTAAATACTGTTTCACCAATTAAAAAAAACAACAACAATGTAGACAGGGCTGTGGTTTGTTTAGTTTGATTTACAGCTTGCTTGCAGTGAAATGTATTTTTTCCTCTGGCTGGCTTTTTTTAATGTCTTGAAAATATGCCATATTGAATGGCACTTCAGAGAGTTTTTTTCTGGCAAAAACTCATGTGGCAACTGCTGATTTAGACCTCCTCTCCCTCCGGGTGTATAATTGTTGTGCTGTATGGCCATTTCTACAATAAAATCTATAGGTTCTTAAGTTTAAGAATATCTCACAAGCGCACTCTAATTTCATGACGTACATCTGTACAATCTATTTTGGACGAACAAATGCCAGTATAGTCACAAACAAAATCCTGAAAATAATGACGTATTAGTATGTTACTGCACGCACCACTGAAGTAATACAATGCACACATGCAAATACATGTTCTGATGTCTCCATGCTAGTTGGGGCAGGTAAAAACCAAGTAAAGGATATGTTTCCTACGGCCCACACAGAGAGGGGGATGAACAATACTGTCATGTCTCAGATGTCAGAAGCATCTTAAAAATGAGGCTCTTTCACATCGCGAGTGTGTTCGTAGATGACAGCTGTGACTTGTAATTATCAACGCAAACACCATTCTTTTCTGTTTCGGCACAGTCTGACAGATTGGAGAGAGCCATTAGATGGCAATCTTTTGTGAATAGCATACATTAAAGTAATGACATTCCATGCATGTGTGGTCTATTTCAAAACACAAACTCAGTCATTAATTAAAACTGAGGTAAATTATGACTACTGAGGGTTACATGCCTAGACAGAGTATCGGGAGAGGCTGTCTGATGTTACTGCTATCACTGTGTCTGAGTAAGTAACTCCAGTGCATACCAGTCTGATAAAGTGATGATACAGAACCAGTGTTGTTAAACAAAAGAGAGCTGAAATAAAATGTTTGCTTAAGAGATCAAAAGCAAGTTTAGAGCCATAAATCAAATCAAAATGAAACTGTGTTGGACAGTGGTAACAGGCTGTATGCTAGTTTCTCTCAATTTGGTGAATTGATTTCGGGCTTTTTCATGAAAATGAATTTGGTGTTGTGTGACATTTGCCCCCTTAAAGCCAGTTTCTTAGTGCTGAAGAAATTACTATCAAATCAAAGACATTGATTTATTCTACGTGTTATCAAGGTGTACATCAGAATCAGCTTTATTGGTAAGTAAGTACATGTACGCATACAAGGAATTTCGATGTTTTGTTGCTCTCAATATTACACATTAACTGCACCAGATGATTTGTTACACAGAACTAACTGTTGTGGCATGTGGTCGTCATTGCAAACTGTTTGGTAAGGCACTTTCAAAAGCTACTCGACAGGTGATTGGATGAACCATCTGTCTATCACCCTCTATCAACGACCCATATAATGTAGTCAAACTGAAGCCAGTCAGGAGAAGAGTGGAAACATCTTTGCTATCGTAAAAAACCTTCATTGTGGATCTTTGCTCTTCTTATAATTAAAAATACTCTCTAGTTTTAAAATAACTGATGCTAGCAGCATCTACGCTAACCTCTTTAGCAGGCACCATTGTTCTTTAACAAACACTTCTTGCTGAGTCATGCTTGGTGCCTAGGGCTGTTTATTGGCATGAATCTGGCGATACAATATGTATCATGATACAGGGCTTACTGTACAATATATGGTGTTATATTGTGATATTTGTGATAATGCGATTAAAAAAAGATCGAAATTTTAGTGCAACCAGAACAGTGATATCTCTGAGTTCACAGCATTGCTATGTAGCAGTTGAGCGTTTAAACACAAAAACCAAAAAACAATAAGACAACAGACAAAGAACACAAACTGAATCAATATTTTCTTACACCCCTACTATTGTAAGAAACCTTGTAGCTGCCAGTATATCCTAAAAGTGATGCTCATTGGTTTGGTGCCACTGTAGTTTGACCACAAACGCATAGACTAAAGCATGGCTATATGGATTGGCTCCTACTGAAGTCCAGCTCTAAGTTGTTTGGTCAGCTCTAAGTTGTTTGGACCATGCCAGAGGTCTAGCTGTTCAATCTCCACTCAACCTACATTATTCTGTTTGCAGCCAGCAAATATAAAAGCATGCATCAAAAAGAGATTAACTTGATGTAAACGTTTAGTATTGTGTCCACTGATTGGAAAGATTTTTATAGAAACTTCAGTCAAATAATTTTCAGAAATTTAGTTGTAATATGTAAAGAAAGAAAGACATATTTTTAAGTCATAATATTTTGAGAAATATATTATTTATTTTTTTGATCTGAAAGTAATCCTAATGCTCTGCCATGAGAAATGCATTATATTGGAGGACGTTTTGCACAGTACCAGTAACTTGAAGTGCATTCCTGTAAATATATATAACAGTAGATGTGAAAATAAAACCTTCCTGAAATAGGAATGTTGTTGGTTAAACCACATCTGCATTTAACTCTGAGGGGAACCTTTTAAATCTCATTGCTAGTTACAATCCAAAGCCAGATAAAATCCAAACATGACAGGAAGATTTTCATGTATTTCACTGTGCCTCACGAGGGCAGGTTATTTGACCAGTGAGTGAACCCATTGTGTAATGTCATACCTGTAAAGTGAGGTCAGGTGAAACCCAGTTTCAGCTCTCAGTCAGCTATTCTTGAAGGGGGTGTTTGAGTAGAGGGGTGGGTGTTAATTTCAACTTCAAGAAAGGCACAAATAGGCATATTTATAGTTTTTCTACTTCTCCTAAAATGTGTTCATTGAGGGGCCTTCTATATGTACATTACATCCTTGAGTTTGAGTATTGCAGCACTGCCTTGTGTTTTATGTTTGGCAAGGGTGTGTTTGATCTTTATCTACAGTCCACAGGTTTGCCTTCTAACCCTTTTATGTGCAATTCTGCATGTGTACACTAAACATGTGTGCACATGCCTATACAGTATGTGTAAATATGTGTTTTATTTTAGTGTGATTCTTGTATACATTTGTTCTGGAGCATATTCATGCAGTGGGATAACATTACAGGCTTATTGTGTGGTATATTTTCCTGGAGGGTTATCAGTAGAATAGCTAACAGTGTCAGTCAGGCATTGGTAATGCTTCACTGGAATTCAGAAAATCTGCCTCTGTTAAATCTTTTACTTGAACTGGAGCCAAGACATTTACACACACATAGACATTTTGCGCTCCTGTGTGTGTGTGTGTGTGTACTGGAGGAACTGTAGTCTTTCTAGTTATTGCAGAGATTTCACATGAAACTATTTTCAGTATTTAATTTTGTAGTAGAAATTTGAATTCTCACACACTTGAAGTGGCTACACAAGTGATTGGTTTTTGATACTTGGGTGCAGTTTTGTATATAAGCATAAAAAACAATCCAAAATCATTAAATGGCACAGACGGTAGGGATGATGTATTGTTTTCAAGGGAGTAATCACGTAATTAATTAATTATTATTAATTAGAATTAATCTACATTTTACAGTTGACTATGATTTTTAAAAAGGTGTCATTCTTGAATATATGGATAGTATGGAAGTCTATGCAGTACTCTATACCAGAGAAAAACTGACCGTAATACATTTCTTCTGCTCTGAAATATAACTTGACCCAGAGCCAATTCTCTAGACTTTATCACTTCACTGAGGAACAATGTTTTGTCCGGGAGGTAATATCATTTTTGTACTGAGGAGGCTCTCTAAAACTAGAACAGAATGACTGAAAAAAAGGTTTTTAAAAAGCTACATAATAACCATGACCTACACAGCAGGTCTAATAATCAAAAACAGCATTCTTAGGTACTGAATGAGTTATCTTACTGTCTCGAGCATCCAACACTATATATATAGGAGGGTCCAAGGCTGTGAAATAAACTGTGCACAGTGTCACAACACAATAAAAGCACATTACAAAACACTTAAAATCACAGGTGTTATCATATGTTGGATGTTGTTTATATGTAGAAATATCTAGGTGACAAAGTGTTTATGGGAAAGACAACCCGCCCCCTGATCCAGAGAATTAGTGAGCATAACGGTTCCATAATGAGTACATTTTTCTGTATCTAGGAAACTATGGTAATGCAAGGTAGAATAGCATTTTCTTGATGTAGTTCGTCCATTCATTGTCATTACATTCATTGCGGTGGACACTTGAATCCTTTAGGTTAGGGTTAGGTTCAGGGTTCAGGGACCTGGAGCAGCAGAGCATGCATTCTTAGGTGAATTTCACTTGATAACTAAAGATTCCGTTTGAATTAGCTCCCTCATTAACTAGTGTTATATCCTCCATGAGGAAACAATTATAGCAGCAGTTGTGTTTTCCTAACACTACGAGTATTACAGTCACATCAGAGTGGTAGATAAGTGTTTAAGACTTCTCTACCGTTAGAGAGTTGTCTGTTTAATGCAGATATGCAGTTTTAGGAGGATGCTTATGATTCCATCTAAAACTATCCATGTCATTCCCATCATGCCTCAACATGTTGTTGCCCTGTTGTTTTCTGAACAGCCACAGGCCCTCCAATCTCTGTCAACATCTCTCATCCCCTATCGCTCTGTGTACTGCTGATTATGGAGTCTCAGGTTATTTCATGCAGGCGCAGAAGTCGTTTTATTTTATTATATTTATCTCCCTCTGGAAATGCGTCCATATAGTTTTTCTGCCCTTCTTTCAGTTTGCTGGCCATAATTTATCATTAATCACTGTCTTTCTCTCCCCCTGTACACTTGCTGTCTCTCTCGCTCAACCCTGATGAGGCCTGGTATTCAGAACCAGTGATGCAGAGGGAGTGTTTACATGGGTGAGGGAGAGTGTTTGAGGGAACAGGACCAGACAATTAGAGTTATAGTTGATGAGTCATTCTTAGACACTTAAGTCCATTAAGTCAATTACTTTCTAGGATGTCAGGTAGTGTCAAAAAAGTTAAATCATAACAATGATCTGTTTATAATGCACCATGCTTCTGGTTGCCAGGCATGCAGTGTATGAGGAAGTTTATACTGTAAATGCTGAGGGAACAGGTAGACACTGTACTGTACTGACTGTATACTGTTAATATGATACATCTGCAATAAACTAATGTTGGCTAGAGACACTTTTACACCTTTATCATTGTCTTTGATCCATTTGGCCATGCCAGATGGCTCTTGTTACATAATGGCATGGAAACACACTCAAATGAAGTGAAGGCGTGTTGCCGAAGACAGTAGATCTACAAGGATACACATTTTGTTTGCTTACCACTCAGAACCAAGCCCCCAAAAAGAGCACTGGGCTTTGAAGCCAGTTTGACATAGTGGCCAAACTGACGTCACATGATGCACACAGGCCCTAAAAAGACTTTTTGCCATAAGCTTACATTGTGAAAGCAGCGGCTGTAAAACGGTATTGTATAAACATCATGTGTCTTTTTGTGGGCTGAATTGAAATTGAGTGGACCACACACAACTGCGACAGTGCCAGTTGGATTTTGAAGCGCATTCATTGTTTTTAGTACATCCGATTACATCACATGGCTTTCATCCAACTTTAAAGAATGTGCTTGTTTCTTTATAAACTTTGATGCAAACATACTCACATAGAGCTCCATCCTTTTGTGCCAGTAATGTCAAGAATACTTAAGATTCTTACGAACTCTGAATTCCTTGAATCAAGTTAAATTTAGTTGGAAACAAATGACGTCCTCAACCCCCCATTTCTAAATTAATAATGATGTGATGAAATGAATTGATTGAGGTGAGATGTTCTCGCTGCACTTCCACACCATTAAAACTTCACATGTAAAGTTGTTAACACAATAAGTATGATTTATTATTTGTTATTATAATAAATGATTATGCTTTGTTTCTACCCTCCGCTTCCAGCTGTCACTGTGTTCGGACAGGAGTTCCCATCAGGCCCTCACGGCTGCACGGAGGGAAGCTGTTACCCTGCTACAGGAAACCTTCTGATTGGACGGGCTGTCAACCTTTCCGCCACCTCCACTTGCGGCCTGAACGGGCCAGAGCAGTACTGCATTGTCAGCCACCTGCAGGTCAGGACACACAGTCAAAGGGCAATATAAAGAATAACATTTTCAGCTTCAGGTTCAATAAAATCACCCAAAATTGCTTTTTTTTTTTTTTTTTAACTTAATAAAATAATAATTTTGTTGCATAGAACGGAACAGACGGGTCACCAGAGGCAATAAAACACAGTTCAAATGTTATTAGTACAGCAGTAAGCTTTGTGTTAAGGGTTGTGTTAACTTATCATTAGTCCCATAGTCCCACAAAGAGAGAGTCTTACAAAGAGAAACCAACACAGCATTAAGTAGCGATCGCCTCCAGTCCACAAGTTCTGAGAGAATTAAATGACTGCTGTCTAATGACATCCATATAGGAAATACACATACAAACCCAGTATGAGACCTTTAAACATGTACACCACAGGAATAAGGTTATGAAGGAATTTTGCATATTATTGTACAAGTAGACCGCAACCAAGAGGAAGGGGAGAAATAAATAGATACTTTTTTTTTCTAGATTTGTAGAGTCTAAGCTGGGGGTGGAGCTCAACATTCCAGTTCCCTCCACAAATCAGGACACCAGGGACCTCCGAGGCGATTATATCAAATATTTTCTTGATTAAGAATTTGTCCTATAAACTTTGGTATCCTATAAATGTTTGGTCTATAAACATTAAGCAATGCTACTTCCCTCAAATCAAGAGAGCTGGAAATCCATTCTATTTGACACCAATATCGCAACTCCTAGCACATTTTTTGTAACACTAAACATAAAGATCAGGAACATACACTCAGAAGAAAGGACTTCCATCTTCAAGAATTCTTCCTGAAATTAAGTCTTAATTGGAGAGGAAAGTCTTAGTCCCAGTGCAACCTGATATATCTTTGTAAGGATTATATAATTACACACGTAGGGTGTTGATATGGATCTCCCAGACTCGTAGGTCTTTTGTATTAGACTATTTGAGGTATACCTTAACACCACAACTATCAGCATGACTATTAAACCCAGTCATGGAACAACAAGTAAACACTCAAGTAGACTATTATTATATATGTGATTATTTTCAGTTTGAGTGGTATTAATCTGTTTGGTTAGGTTGTTTAACCACGGGGACATTAGGACGTTGCTTACAGCTATTTTACCCTGTGGAAAAGTCAGCTGGTGTCACAGATGTTGCAGAGGAATACCTGAAGCTTTTTCTGCGCTCTCTCCTGGTGTTCCTCTCGGTTCCGCTGCATTTTCGCGCTCACTGTCCCCCAGGAGATTTTCTTCAGCCTGCTAGGTTGTTATAGGTGGTGGGGCCACCGTCGAAAAATATGCATAGTTTTGCTGGAGGTGGGGTCTGGAAGCGGAGCCCCTTTTTCTTTTAAGTAGTTTTCTGATCTTCCATGCTAAACAGAGCACCAGCTCCTTGATCCTGTATTCCAGAAAATAAATGACCACTGACCGGGGTTTCGCATTTGGTGGCAGCTGACAGAGCTGTATGCCAAGTTCAGTGTTGGGAAGGGACAATTTCCTTTATTTATTCCTTCGTGAGCGTGCTTCAAGGTCTTAGTTTTGCTTGAATGTTTTTTTGGATGTGTAGGGCTTGGTATAGCACCTGGATGGAGGACTGGAGCGCCAATGTCCGCCACTAGTTGTTCTGCTTCCTCCACTCTACCCACCGTTCTAGCTTGCAGGCTATCCATAGCCCTGTTATAGTATTTCCCCTTCCATATTTGTATATAAATTTCATCCTTTTATAAGCCAATTGATTTAGGGGAATATAGTAGACTTGTCTGGGAGCTCTCACTCTACCTTGCCACTCGCCCCGGTGCCATACCGGAGGTCCCCAGATTTGCATTCTGAGCATAGAAATGGGAGCAAGTGGTTGTTATTTTGTCACTAATGACAGGCAATCATGCACATTATTCTCCTCTCTGTGCACCCTATATCGCACTTTCATCCTTCCACAGTTGGCTTTTTCAGTCGCTTAAAACAGGCGAGTTTGATGACTGCTTCTTTGTAGATTCAATTTGACTCTCCCACCTGCTTGTTTCATCTCTTAGCACCCTGCCACAACACACGGCACCCTGTAGTCAATGCAGGGGAAAATGGGATGGTTTGTTTGTTCTCTCTTTCATGCATTCATCCTTCATCCATCTTCATCCTTCAGTCTCCACTCTTCCATCTTCATTTGTTCATCTGTCTGTTTGTTTGTAGCCCAGTTTCCACGAGCAAGGCCCACCAATTCTACCCAGCCTTTCAATATCAGGCCCCAGGTGTAGACACTCAATGTCAGCCACACCTTTGTCACACGCACATTCTCTCCCTCTCTCTCTCTCTCTCTTTCTCTCTCTCGCTGCTTCAAACATTCATGAGTCTCAGTGGAGACCAGTAATAGCTGCACCTATCATTCAAAGGCTCAGATATTGAGCAGGTTCAAGAGATATATTTGCTTGGTGCCACTCTCAATGGGCACCAAGCAATCTAGAAATTAGGTAGTGGGATAGCATGCATCAGAAGATGTTGCTCTTTTCTCACCCCTGCCTTTAAAATGCTAGTGACTCAAGCACCAGTTCTGTCTCAACCTTGATTATCGCTCAGCAGACTTTGTCGGGTGCTCAAAGTAGAGGAGAGGTTGGCGTGTAATCTACTGAGTTTCTTTTGGAATATTTGTTATAATGCAACAACCAAAATGTGTCTGATTCAAAATAGATTATGGAGAGAAACATACTCCACTTACCAGGGGTTACAGATGTAGTTGTGTTAGAGTCTGTAGTGTATAGAGCAAACTTTGATCATTGAAGGTACCCAGTAAGGATTTAAAAGACTTCTTTAAAAAACATGTTATGAATAATCCCACTGTTAACTGATCTAAAATAGTTTATGATTGGGTTGTAACTGGAGTGTGTTGTAATGTTTTAGTTTAGTTTAGGCGATAAAAAAACCATGATCGGAACATTCCTAGTGAATATTAGCAATTTTTAGTTCTCTTTTGCTTCAAAAACATTTCTCTGAAGCTCAGTTGTGAGGCTGTTGCCTGCCATTTCCAGGTACAGATACGATTGCAGATAATTAAGTTGGCAGCTTTTATTTAAACTTAGTTTAGACGTTTTTTTTTATATACAGTTACAACTATGCAACTACAGAAAGTACTTCTCTGCGTTAACAGCCCTAGTTCACCACCTATGTGAAGGACAGAATGCTGTTACAGCCTCTTCTCCACCTCTACAGTATGCCCAGCTCTTGTTTTTTCTATCTCCCCCTATTGACATAAATCCTGACATGTTCAACAATCATCTTGACATTCACCTCTCTTGCATCCGTACACTACATAGATAGTTTCCATGCATCTACATGTTTGGTGCCTGTGCTTTCCATTGGCCTCAGGGCCAGGAATATCCAACAGTGTCAACTTCCAGGTGAACACTGACATTCTCTGATTGGGTGACGAGACCCTCCACTACAATAAGGGGCAGGATATGGTGACAAACTGTCGTACCATAAATCAGGTGTGGACCATTGCTGGTCTGTCAAAAGCTACTTTAGAGGCCCAACCACTAAAACATTTCTCTCACAGCCTTTAAATGTCTTCAATCATTTGTGTTTGACATCCTCCTAGTTATTTTTTCCCTTTTTTCTTGTGAGATCAGATTGCATAGTTATTACACACAGTTGTATCCCAGGAGAAACAGTGCTACTAAAACTAAAACTGTTAACTGAAAAGACAGAAAAGAATGGCAGAAAATTAAAAGTGAGAGAAGACAACTCATTGATTATGGAAATTATAAATCTAAAGCAGAGATGTTTCCGATAAATTTTCATTTTTGTCACGCATTCCAAAACCTGAACTTTGTTCGATACCAGTACTGATCTATACATGTGCGTTATGACTGCTTTCATTGTTATAGCCTGGCTCAGGTTAAACCTTCATCAGAGTTAAAGTCAGAGTTGGGGGGTCATGACCTTCACTCATCCTGGAAAAAAAAATTGTGAATCGGATGCTGCTGGGAGGGCAGCAGGGTCCTGGTTTCCAGGAACTAATAAATTACATCGATTCGCACAGACGCACATACTCGCCATTTTAGGCAGTATCGGAGGAATTTCTGATACTGGTATTGGAAACAACTTCGTAATCCAAGTGCTGCAATCTCCTGCTGTGTGAGGGAGCAATAATTAATGCAGCATAAAAACTAACGTTACATTCTGCCGATACAGTCTATAAATTTGTTCAATTATTCTACTTGCCTCACACTGATGCAAATAAATAGCCTGGATTTGCCAGTAATTATCTTAATTGTGTATAACCCAGTACTTTGAATGACTTGTAATTGTCAATTTAATTTTAAAATATTATATATGGGCTATATATATATATATATATATACAGTATACATGTGCAGCCCTAAAGTGAGATACTTATTAACAGCAGGGAAATACCAGTTTCAGAGTCGTAAACTGCACAAGGGAGGTGGGTTTTTTTAAAGCCACCATCGTTGTGCAACAAAGACGTTTTCGAATCAACATCAGCCTTACATCAGTGTATTGTGGGAGCACAAAGCCTTATAGTTGAGCTGACCAGGCTTGACTAATGGGAGATAAATAAGAGCTCAGGGGAGGGAGGCCGGGTCTTAAAGCCACACAAGTTAAGACCAAGCACCAACTGAAGCCTTACAGTGTCCTTAAAAGAGAAGATGAATAGGAATCAGACGGTTATTTTACTTTACACCAAAACCGTGAACTTAAACTTAATGAACAAATGTTAAACACCTTTAACAAAATAATGCTTTCCTCACCCGCTGACTTTAATTCATGTAAACGCTGTGAAGCTGCAGCTCAGTGCTGTTCCAGAAGGGCTCTCTGGTGATGGCACATTGCGTTAGGATGGATGGGCTACTGTGCAGACAGGAATGCCCTTTTCAGCAGCCCTGGGTTATTGGCGATTTATGCTGGGATAAGGGAGGGTATGTGAAGAAGGCTCGCATGCATGAATGAAACACACTCTCACTCTCACTCTCACTCACGTCCACGCACACATGCACAAGTGGGCGTGTGTGTGCATGCGGTCACGCACGTCCCCACACATCCAAAGGCACACATCACTTCCAGCACGCTTTAGGCATTCCTTTTCAATTCTCAGCCGAGTCTCTTAAACAGCCATGTTGTTGTTAGCAGCTTAATCACCCTTGACGACAACCTAATTAAGAAACGCTGCCCTGGAATCCACTGTTCCTCTAACTCACCCTCATCTCCCTCTTTAGCCCCCTTTCTCCCTCCCGCCTCCCCTTTTCATGGCCCCCTCTCAAATGCACCCCTTTTTTGCCCTCTCTCACCGTCTCCATTGCTGTCTGCCGGCCCCCTTCTTTGTCCCTCCCCCCTGCCGTGCTGTTTGAGACCCCTCTCCACTGCTTCTCTCACCTGCACCTTCCTTTCTCTAACCACCCTTTTCTAACTTTTCAAGTGCACTCCCTCATTCAAGCCCTCGCTCTTGGCCTTGGTCCCCACATTCTTGTATCTTTCCCATGCCCTCTGACTTCACGCTCTTCCTTCTCTTTTTCCGCCTCTGCCTCGTCAACGTCAGCTTTTCAGCAGCATTTTCCCTTCATTCTTCATTCTAACTCTCCTTCCGTTTAGGTCACCTGCTCGCTGTCCCCTTTTTGCATCTCTCTCATAATCCTCGTCTTTATCATTGATGCTGCAGATGGAATGATTATATTAGTCTGTACGCCTTCTTGGTACCCACTTTGATATTTTCTTACATTGTTGCTTTTATCCTTTTACAATTTACTGCTGTCTACTGAGATCCTACAAAGGTTGTCCACTCTAGCCCAAGCCCCTTGAAAGAGCGCTGGGTTATGAAGCCAATTTGACATAGTGGTTGGTATAATGTAATTACAGCAATGTCATGCAAGGCACACTGGACCAAAAAGACTTGTTCTTAAAAGGTTACATTGTAACTAAAGCGGCTGTAAAGCGGTGGATACATTTTCGAGCATCCTAACAGGCAGGTTCTTCCATGCCCTTGAACTGTACCTACAATAAACACCCAGACATTCATTATGGGACAGCTGTTGTACTGCATTCTTTTTCTTCTTTCTCTGAGATCCGTTTTAACTGTTGGGTGTGAAATGTGTGAAACCAATGAAAAAGTGTTAACACACTTTAAAGAGAGGGTGATGAAGATCAAGTGGATCCCAGTTTCATAAAGTGTGTCTTAGCAATCGAGAAAAACTGTGAATGGATTGTCTTTTTGTACATTTGGTATTCAATGTCCTTTAATATAGCGCCATCATTATTTACAAATTTTGTTTGGTCCTGATTCGATGAAGGCTGTTGACTTTGGTGATCCCTTGACTTTATCTTTTGCACCATAACAAGGTTGATATTTGTGATTTTGAGTGAAATGTCTCAACAAATATTGGATGGCCATTTGGTTCACATGTTCATGTTTCTCCTGATCCTCAAACCTGCCTTCATCTCTCCCACTGTCGTTGTTCCTCTCAAATGCCTCTCCTCCCAAATTTTACTCCTTATTTCTCTCCTGTCTACCATTTTTCCTTTTAAATCTTTCGAGCCACTGGAGCCACAATCCAGTTCCTTTTGGCTTTTGTCCCATTTTTCAGTGGTACTTGCACACAAGTGCACATTACCCACATTACTTCTGCTTGACAGAAGAAAGCCCCAATCTGAGGAAACAGCTCTTTCATAGGGGCTTGACTGACACTGTACAACATGTACAACAAGA